GAGAGAGAGAGAGAGAGAGAGAGAGAGAGAGAGAGAGAGAGAGAGAGAGAGAGAGAGAGAGATCTGCTTCCGGAGGGCGGCTCCAACAGTGAGTGACAGTCCATTCACAGGGCATTTTGACACACCGCATGCTGCACCTGGTGGAGGACTACAATGCATATCTGCATCATACACCGCCACGGGGTCCAGCATGCCGTGTGCCAAAGTAACCTCTGAACCAACTGTTGCTCGCTGTTGGAGGTGCCCTCTGGAAGTGGCTCTCTCTCTCCCCCTCTCTCTCCCTCTCTCTCTCTCTCTCTCCCTCGTGGCGCTGTGGTGGAAAGCTGTGCTTGAAGGCCGTGATGTGGGCTGGGTCCCTATAGAGAAACCGCGGGGGCGCAAGGAAGTCCAACAGGAGAGAGAGGTTGGCTAATCCGGACATGCCCACAGGGTGTGAGCCCAAACACAAGCGTCCAAAAAAAACAAAAAAACAAAAAAAAAAAGTGTCCCCTACAGTGGACGGAGGAGACCACAACTCTTGTCAGGGAACAAAAGTTACTCCCGCCAGGACGCTTTTCTGGATGTGTCTGGTTGCAACTATGGCCGGATACAGATTTACGCGACTACAATTACGTCCAGCAATCCATGGAAAAAGGTCCTAGTGTACGTATGTCCTTAAACTTTTCAAAAGTTAAACACTCAGTCAACATATCCACCACTTATATATAATCACGAAAAATGTACAGAGTGCTCACCGCAAAATGGGGACATAGCTGTTGGGTTGGGTTGGGTTGGGTTGGGTTGGATGCTCCAATAAACAGCAGCAATCAACGACGACTCTATCCGCATTCTTCCCAGCAGAAAGGAGAGTACGCCATTTATCTTCTTCCGTTTGCGACTCTCTCCCCTCGCTTCCCACAGCTCAGATTTCATTGCGACGTAGTCGCGAGTTCCAAAACGTATTCGGTAATCGCCTATCGCCCATCCCTCTATCTTTTGACACCACCAGTACTTGGCCCAACTATCGGCCACGGGCTTTTGACGTTAACGCGCCGGTAGTTGCGGGCTTCGGGGCACAGAACCACAATGGCTGGAAGCGCCAGCCAAAATGAAAACGAAACGGTGCCCCGGCGGCTCGGCAAAACTTGGCGCTCAGGGGGCATCCCGGCTCAGCATCGATAGCTGGGCCAAGTACTGGTGGTTTAACAGTCATCAATTCAGCCATCCGATGCAACTCCCATCCGCACAGCATGGCGTAGTAGTTTGGCAAAAAGAACGAAGAACACCGCACGACTGCTCTTGTCTGTGTGTCTCCTCCTCTGTGAAGCACGACTCTCTTCTCCCGTGCAACAACCCCTCCTCTTCTGTCCCCTCATCTTTCGAATGCCAGCCAATCTCTGTCGTTGACAGTGATCTTGCAAATGTCAGTCGATATCCACCATCGACAAATTGCATCCCCTTTTAAACCCGAGACGAAAACCGACATCGTGAAGTGGATGCTGCGTTGGTGCCGCGGCAGAGAATGACATTGCCCTTTTTTTTTTGCGACGTAGATGTAATGCTCCACGCTGCCATTGCGGCTTATCAAAACAACCGCGCCATTGATATCCTCGCTCCACTACACATCACTCTACATGCATTTGGAAGGCCTCGCTCCACTACACATAACTCTACATGCATTTGGCCGCTTTCAGGACCAGGTGCATTTGGACGAGTCCAACGCTACGAATGTACATGATCTCGTAAGCGACCAAATGCATGTAAGATGTTGTGCAATGGACCGAGGCCAACTATCAATCCTTAATCCAGGCCGCCTTTAGCCTCTGTGCGAGAGTGTTGTGTAATGTTAAGCACTTCTTTCCAGCATGTGTGGTCTTCTGTCCAGCTAGTAGTAGCATATAGGGTTCAGGATTTTGGCCCCTCAACACCCCCTGCCCTCCATAACCATGTTTTTTTCAGCCTCGAACACAGCCTGAGGATGAAGAATGCTCACATCGCTCTCTTTGCTCTGACAATCAATTCATCCTGCGAGAACAGGGCGACAAGTTTAGTAGAAGCTGCCAGATGTAGCAGTGCAAAACTAAAGATCCTCGTTATTTCGACTTCTGCCTCAACTTGGCAATTGAAAATGCCCGTTCTTCCTCCTTTTCGCAGGAGCCATGCTAATCG